GTCTTACTGTGTAGTCCAGGCTACCTGGAACTCAGGACCTTCCTGCTTCAGCCTCCTGAGCACTGAGGTCCCACTGGCCACTTTCTTATCTGATGGTCACTGTTACTCAGAGGAGAGGGGCCCATCATACATAGCCCCGTATCACACTGTTGCCAATGGCTGCTCTCTTCCCTCTTTCCCATCCTGTCTTTCACTTAACCTGTCTAACCTTGCTGCAGAAAGGATGCCTGATTTGCTTCAGCAATGTAGTTCTCAGACCATGGATTCTGTGACCTAGCTCCTGTCCTCACAACGCCCCCAACTAACTGGGCCTCCTGTGACAGAACATGCACCATGTTGTCCTTAGACTAAGAGGGTATGCAGGGCTCTTGCCTGGAATCAGAGTCATAAAGACACATCTACCATCATGGAGATGGATTCAGACATCTTGAGATCAAACCCAGTCTGCTCTGAGAGAGCTTTGTGATTTGGGCCAGTTACAGTTACCTCTCTTAAGGAGAGGTAAGGCTGTGAGGACTTGATGTTTCTGTCTAAGCGATGTTCGGCACAATGCCTGAAGCACAGGAAATGCTCAATGAAGGTGAGCCATTAATTTCAGTGTCAGTAGAAACAATGCTGTTTACTGTGACCAGGATAAAGAAACCATACCCAGCCATCTGTTGAGGCGGGGGTTCAGGGAACTTAACTCTTATGAGAAAGAAAACCTTAGCGCAAAGACAATGGATGGTGAAGAAGAGACAGAGGCTCAAATGGAGGATCCTTCTGCTTTGACTTGAGCACAGTCATGAGGTCACAAGACAAACCATCACTCCCAAAGCAGGCTACATAGGCCCAAGCTTCCTACAAACCTTTCCCTGAAAAACTGAGTTGAAAAACTCATGTTTTGATTTCATGAGTGGAATCGGTGCTTCACAGATGATTGAGGAATCCTGAAGGAACCCAAACGTTCTGAAGAATTGGCTGGGGAAAAACTATGAATGAACCTTCCCTTGGCATGGAATTTTCCTACTTAGGAACTGCTTCTTATCTGAGTTTAGCAAATTAGTTCATGTGTCTGAGTTATTAAAATACATGAAAACAAATTACTCTTCATTTACTTAAGGATTTACTTCCCAAAGGATACGAAGATAGAAATGAGGAGATCCTGAGACACTTGAAAAAGGCAGGACAGGGTCAGCCTCTTTGCCACTGAAACACAAGTCACACCAATGGGATGCTTTAAGCCACTGCTCTTAAGAAACTGTGCTTCAAATGTTTAAAACTCCTTGGTGATGGAGGAAAGCCTTTTCGAACCATTATGTTCTTTGTTTCTTTTCTTTCTTCCAGACATCTTTCTTTACATTCCTCTATATGTTTAGCAATGCTCTCTCTCCTAAGGCTAGAGACTGACGAAACACTTCCAAAACAGGTCTTCCTTAGGAAAGTTCAGATGAGTTTGTCCCTGGATGATTCTGTGGTTGATGGCAAATCTACCCATCCTACAGAGACAGGGCTTGAGATTCAGAATGCATCATTTAATTCCAATCCCCGGACTTCTGTAGGCTCGCAAAATGGGGAATTCCCAACACAACATCAGTTTGCAAAGACCTCATGGGAACCAAGAAGACATTGGGGCCAAGTTTTCCTGTCCAGAATAGAGAATTGCTCATGTTCGTCCTGCCTTCCAAGTTCAGAAGCTCCTTGCCAAGACCACTGACTATTTTACAAAATTAGCCTAGGCTGATTAATATAGCATTTTTCCAATCCCCAAACCACGGAAGAAGCAAGAAAGTCTACAGCTGCAGAACAGGAAGAAAGAGGCAAGTACCACCCATAGAAGACACTGAGTTTGCATTTCTGGTGTGAACACTGCAAATTTCACATATCTGCCATGTAAATCTTATAAATTTTGAGACCTCCAGATTCAATATTTATTTATGTGACGTCATAAAACTTGCCGATGTATCCTACTAATATTTTGAAAAAGTCATTCTATACCTTTTTCCTACCTAGACATATTTAGCAGGGCGTGGTGGTGCACGCCTTTAATCCCAGCACTCGGGGAGGCAGAGGCAGGCAGATCTCTGTGAGTTCAAGACCAGCCTGGTCTACATAGTCAGTTCCAGGACAGCTGGAGCTATGGGGAAATCCTGTCTCAAAAAGACAAACAAACAAAAAAAAGAAACTCAGGGTGAAAATAGCGTAAATACAATACTCATGTGAAGTCTCACAAATATTTTAAATAAAGTTTTAAAACCACAGGTGCTGATAGTACAGCCCAACACGAGAGCAGATGTTTAGCATGCAAGAGGCCTTGGGTTCAGTTCCAAGCACTATCAGACACAGACACAGACGCAGACACACACACACAGACACAGACACACACATAGACGCAGACACAGACACAGACAGACACAGACCCACACATACACACAGACGCAGAGAGGGAGGGAGAGCTCAAAACATATGTGTGAGATCGTAGTATAGGTAGGACTTTTCATCTTGTTTTTCTTTCATAAACCCATGTGCATTTTCCTGCATATTGCAATATTCAGAATTTTTAATGGATAACTGATGTGCTGGGTTCACTCATATTGCTTCTTTTGTTTTGTTTCTTTTTATTTGTTCTGGTGCTGGGGATTGAACCTCTGGCCTTGCTAGGCGAATATTTTTGAGACAGGGTCTCGTTAAGTTGCCAAGCTGGTCTGAAACTCATTCTGTAGCATAGGTAGGCTTTGAACTTGCAATCCTCCTGCCTTATCCCACCAAGTATCAGAGACTGTGGGTCTGTGCCACAGACGTGGCTCTACAGTGACTCTTTTGGACTCTGTTTATGCATCTCTTTCCATTTAGTGATGTACTGTTGACATCTTAAATCCATCACAGGGAGAATATACACAGCATAGAAGCTGGAAATGCTACAAAGGAGGGATTTTGTCATTAAGCATCGCTAGCACTCTACTGACTGTGCAGTATTCCTTTATTGAGTTATAACTTGTTAAATCAAACCTTTGCAATCCAACATCTAATTTGTTTTTAAGTTTTGGCTGAAACTCCATGCATCTTGCTGAATTCAGAAATTAGGCCTGTAGCTGGGAGCATTTCCTCAGGCTCTGCTCTCAAGCATCAGACTCCTGGGTTAGACTCTGAGAACATTTGTGAGGCCTTGATGCAATGTGGCCAATTGCCCACAGAGCAACTGTTCTAATAACATCTCCAGTGCACAGGAACAGAGGGGCCTGAGACATGGCAAAGGGTGGATCCTGGTAGGGTGAAAGGCTTTGAGGACTCACCTGTGGGCACTTGGCAGCACTGTAGCAGTCCCCAGCGGTGGCAAAAGGGACAGGATGTCCTTCACTTGTCCTTGCAAACTGTAAGTCAGTGGCTGTGGGGTGGGGAAGGGGTTAAAGGGGGAGGAAGAAAGAAAGGGGAGAGAGGTAGGGAAGGGACAGGATATTAATAAGGAGACAGAGGGGAGAGAATAATGAGAAAATAATCAGGAATGGGAGAGAAAGAAAGAACTCGGATTATTAGTGAGCAAATGGATCCAGATGTGCACTGCTGTTTTCTTCATTAGAGTTGTGATTCTGAGAGCTTTGTTCCCTGGGCTTTATCAGCACTGGCTGTCTGTCTCCTTGGAGTATGGAAAACCAAAAGAGGTTTAACATGACTTTGGAATTGATTCCTACACAAATAGGAATCACTTAAGTGCAGTGTAATTGGGTGAGGGTGAACCTCCTGTTAGCTGCACCCCAGGCTTAAGGACAGGGCAAGAAGCCAGGTGAGCATTTCCAGCCCTAAGGGGCCATCCCGAGGTTTCCTCTGTCTTCCCGTGGCCTAGTTGCTATTCGTGCCAGAATGTGGAGCAATTAGAACATACATCTTGAAATTATTAATGGCAGTTCCTCAAGTTTGGGGCTAGCTTATAGTTTAAAAGAAAGAAAGAAAAATAAAGCAACTGAAAACAATGCGCAGTGATGTTTTTAACCCTATTGCTGTTCCTGGCTGCAGCACAGAATGCACTGAGTGGCTTACAACTGGGAGTGTGCTGCGGGAGGGCTGCAGGCATGGCTTCGGGCTTCAGTAGCTGGAGAGGGTTTTTATTTTTTATCTTTCTGCTTTGACTTTCAGGAGTGGTGGAAGCTTAAAGATTCCTGCAGCAAACCCCACTTTTGTGGGAGAGAAATCTGAAGGCCCTATTTTGAAGCAAAGAGATCCTTGCCTACCCAAGGGATTCTTAACTGAGTTCTTTTTCTTTTTGAAATTTTCATCAGTGTACATTAATGATACATACTAGTGGGTTCGGTCATGACATTGTCATACATATATAATGTAATTTGATCATATTCACTACCATTTACCTGACCCCTCTTCCTCCTACTTAACGCCTTCCCCAGTACATCACCTTCTAGTTTGGAATCTTTTGTGCCTTTTTATATTTGCGACACAATAAATTTGATTAGCATCATTTACAGGAGCATGGGTGAGAGGTTTAACAGGAGAACTTACAGCAGTTACACCACTGAGGAAAATGTATCTCCCTGTCACAGCAACAATTAGCTGCCTACAGACTCTCAAGGAGCGGTGGGATTTATAGGTAGTGGTTGCTGAGGGGAGAGGGTCACAAGGCCCTACTCCTCTTTCAGAATCTAAAGCTGGAGCCTTTTCTAAATGAAGACACTACAGACCTTGTGCATCTAGTCCTAATCAGTCTAGCTGATAGCAATAAAAATATGTTGGTACAAATCAAGTTTAATCTCCCTCAACAGAAACCAATGTAATATTATGGGTGCAATGTAAATGAGAAAAAATTTAATTATTCATTATTTCTGTTCTTCCTCTATTGAAGAGAACATGCTTATATATTTTAGCTGTCTTTTCCAACTCTTATGATTAATGTCCCCAACAGAAACAGTGCTGGCCAGAGTATAAAATCAGGCCATGAGCAGGCTTGTTATGAAAGGTAATTCTGGGCTCCATTTTTCTTCCATAAGTTGACAATCAGGTAAAATTAGTTTTCCACCTATGTATATGTGTGCACTGTGCTGTGAAGACCCATCTGGAGGGGGAATGTTTTCATGTGAATTACTTTGCTGTGGGGTTCCCTAGCTGCTGTTTCCAGAAACATTTTTCTCCTCTATTGCTCTTCCTGCATCAGCATTAGTGTGGAGCACCCTCTTAACCTTAAGGTCTTGGTATCAATGCCATGTTTACTAGGGTGCTGCCCTGAGGCCTCATATGCAGTGGTGGAACTCCCATAAATATTTATAGCTTTCCTTCCTTCATTCAGCATAAATCTGTTAGAGTCCTGTCCTATGCCAGGTATGCTCCAGGCACTGGGAATTCAGCAGTGAACACAAAGGATCAAGCCCCAGCCCGTGATGCTTACTTAGGGCAGGATTATGATTGCTGGGCTGTGAGCTCCTTATGTGACTTCCATACCTAGTCACTCACAGTACCTGCTGCTCACTGAGCGGAGAGGAGTGTGCACCTACGTGATGGCCCACTGAACTTACTTATGATTTGCATGCTGGTCAGGTCTATTCGTATTTTCTGGAAGCTGGAAAAGCCGGCAGCTGTGTAGTCCTTCCGACATTGGCAGTCATCTCGTCGGCTCCCGTTATAGGGGCATTCTGTTGGGTTGTGCAACCTAAGTTATGGAGATAATGTTCTGGTAAGCATAGGAAAGTTTCTCCAGGCTCTCTAGGCTCTTCTGCAGGGGAGTCCTCCTACCTGTGCCCATAAACCTCAGAGAAATTCTCTGAGTCACCATGGACCAGTGTCACATACTCCTTGGGGTGGTCAGAATGCATCCCTGCACAGAAAACCTACAAGACACACCAGAGGGAATCCAGGAAAGGCAGTCAGCAATGGAGCCATGGGAACAGTCATCACTATGAAAACATTCTGAGTTCACACTCACTTTCAGGGACTTCCCTCTGATGATCAGAAAATATTCACCATCTTCACTGGCACTGTTGAGTCTTTTTACCTCCTTGCAGTTCTGAGGTAACTCACCTAGGAAGTACAAACCACAAAATGGGTGTGAGGTTCGGAGATGTTCAGTATCTGTCAGCAAAGAGATTGCACTGTCCATACTAAAATTCATTAGCCAAGAGGTAGAGAAGCAGGGGCAGAGGGATGTTCAGTGGTAGTTTAGTCTGTAAAGTGCTTACCAGGCAAACACAAGGACCTAAATTTGATCTACTAGAACACACTTTAAAAAGCTGGGTGTAGGACAGATCATGGTGGTGCATGCCTTTAATCCCTGCACTTGGGAGGCAGAGACAGGCAGATCATTGTAAGACTGAAAGAGGCCAGCATGGGATGGTCTACATAATGAGTTTCAGGCCGGCTGGGGCTATATAGTGAAATCCTATCTCAAAAACCCAAAAATCCAAAAACCTAAAAAAAAAACAAAAAAAAAACTAAGGTTGGGCATAGCTGCACATGCTGTACTCCAGGACTAGGAAGGTGGAAACAGAAGGCTCCCTTGGCCTTGCTGGCCAGTCAGTCTAGGTGAATGTGTGAACTCCAGGTTCAGTGAGAAATCTTGTCTCAAAAATAAGGTGGACAAGCCAGGTGTGGTGGCGCACGCCTTTGATTTCAGAACTTGGGAGGCAGAGGCAGGCAGATTTCTGTGAGTTCAAGGCCGGACTGGTCTACATAGTGAGTTCCAGGCCAGCTGGGGCTACAGGGAGACCCTGTCTCAAAAAATACCATAAATAAATAAATAAATAAATAAATAAATAAATAAATGAATGAATGAATAAATAAATAAATAAATGTAGACAGCAATTGAGGAGGATACCTAGGCTGACCCCTGGCCTCTTCATGTGCAGGCACACCCATATACACATGAACACACACACACACACACACACACACAGAATCACCACATTTTTAAAGGGTAAAGACAGATGAACAAAGAAGCTTTGCTCTTCATGCTAGACAAAGACTACTTCAGTTCAGTAACTTACAGTCATAAATATTGTGGCAGGTTTTTCGTTCTTCTGGCTTTAGATCGGTGGGACATAAGTGGCTGGGTTGGTCCTCGTTGGTTAAACACTGCACAGATCTGTGCATCACTCCCATACCACAGGACACGGAGCACTGAAAGGCAGAGGAGAGTTGGTGGGTGGTTCTGGAACCTGGGAGATAGAGGCTTTGCTGGCACGATGCTTGGAGCCTTAGGGCTGTGCAACAAGTAGCTGACATTTATTGATTACTTACTATGGCCAGTTGCTGTGCTATGCTTTACATAGATATACCTAAGCATTGTACATATATACCATACATGTAAATATACACATTTATATATAAACCATTTATGCATGTGTATAACATTATATGTAATTATATAATTGTGTGATTATATAATATGTATACTTTTTTCATTTAAACTGAAATAGTACTACCATTACTGTCTTTTCACATATGGAAGATTGGGGCTCAAATATTAAGGAATTTGTTCAAGGTCATGGTGGAGCCAGGCTTCTAACCCTAATAACTTTCAGCACATCATACACTTTTGCCTGGTCACTTTTCAAGACTGAGAACTTCACAGCCCAAAGCCAGAAGACTGTGTCAATGATTCTCCAGAGCAGGCTCAATTTAGAATATTCGTCTTGTGTCCTGAGTGCAGCAAAGTTATTCCAACACAGAAAGACTAGAGCATACAGAGTCCTTAACAACGGAAGCAGCCAAAATTCATCCTGTGTAACTCTTATTAAAAGCCAGATTTTAAGGGCTTGTTAGGAAAAACAAAAACAAACGCAAAAAAAAAAACCAAAAAAAAAAAAACTAGTAAAATATATGTAACATGAAATTGGCTATCATAACTGAAGTTCTTTTTATTTATATATTAACCCACTTCATTTTCATAGCTACCCATTTTATAGATGAAGAAACTGAGGCATAAAACTGTACAACTTGCATTCTCCTGGGAGGCAGCAAGATTAACTTTGGGCTATCTGGTTTTCTATAGCTCTTTCTATTCCATCAGCCATGCTAAGTTGCAAGCAGGCAGCAGAATTTCAGACAAGGTTTGAGATTCTAGGCCTCTACTTACACTGCCCCAGTTGCCAACTCTCCAGTTGGCCGAGACTGGACAGTCCCTCAGGTAGCAGGGATGGACGCTAGGAGGCTGTGTGCCAGGGCAGTTCACCGTGGTTTGGTAGCTGTACTCGTAATTCTCCTTCTCTGTGTAAATCTCGCTGCAGGAGACCAGCCTTTGTTTGTAGCCCTTTCCACAGGTCACTGAACACTGAGAAGAGAGGGGTCAAGAGGGGACGTTCCAGCATCTCCCTGCAGCAGCCACAAAAGGCCCCCACCTTCCACACCAAGCCTGCCCCCATGCCCAAGCTGCAGAGTGCTCTCTCTTTATCAGCTCAGGCATCCATCTAGGACCACAGCAAGCACTGCAAGGCACTCCCTGAATCTCGAGCCCCTTCCTTTATCTAGTGCTCCTAGGAGAAGGATGGGAGATACCCAACTGCCATCAACCACCATTTTCTAGACCTCTACGACCGACCACACCAGATAAGCCACCGGATATGGAGAGAAAAAGGAGCCAGCAGCCCGGGAATCACATCCTCAGTGTGAAATGCAAAAGAGGACTCCAGAGAGTGCTGTGTTTCAGCACATCTGCCTTCCTCTTAATTTCCTTCTCTCTTCTCTCTCCTTAGCTCTGGGTTTTGACTGGCAACTCACCTTTCTACTTTCTTTTCTTTATAAATCATGTGATCTAATGATCCTTTTATTTTGAGTATACAGCAAGAGATACAGCAATAAAAAAGAAAATTACAGACCAGTTCCTTGATGAATACAGATACAAAAACTCTCAAAAAATATTTGCAAACTAAATTCAAGGACATAGCAAAAAGATCATTCACCATGATCAGGTTGGCTTCATTCTAGACATGCAGGGAGGGTTCAACATATATAAATTCACAAATCACACAACTGGACTTAAAGACAGAAATCGCATGATCATTTCAATAGATGTAGAAAAAGCCTTTGACAAAACCCAGTATTCATTCATGAAAAGACTGGGAGTGGAAGGAATGTACTTCAACATAATAGAGGCTATACACAACAAACCTGCAGCCAATATCGTGCTAAGCAGAGAAAAAAAAGCAAAGCATTTATACCAAGTTCAGGAACAAGACAAGGCTGTCCAATCTCACCACCCCTATTCAGTATAATGCTTGAAGTCTTAACTAGAGTGATAAGACAAGAGAAGGGAATAAAAGAGATGCAACTAGGAAGGAGAGAGGTCAAAGCATCCTGTTTGCAGACGACATGATTCTGTACATCACAGACACTGAAGACCCACCAGAAAGCACATTGGGGCAGAATAAAAGATTAAATAAAAAAACTCAATAGCTTTCCTGTATACCACTGACAAACTTACAGAAAAAGAAATCAGGAAACAATTCCGTTCACAACAACCACAAATCACAAAACATCCTTGAAATAAGCCTAATAAGGAAGTGAAAGATTTCAAAAACTTTAAAATACTGAAGAAATAAATAGCGGAAGATGCTAGAAGGTGGAAGGACCGCCCACGCTCATGAACTGGGAGAATTAATATTGTGAAAATGGCCATTCTCCCAAAATCAATCTACAGATTCATTTCAATCCCCATCAAAATTCCAATGCTATTCCTCAAAGAAATAGAAAAAAATTTTTTTGAAAATTTATATGTGTAGGTGTCTGTAGAAGCCAGAAGAGGGTGCCACATTTCCTGGATCTGGAGTTGCAGGCAGTTGAGAGCCATCTGATATGGATGCTGGGAATCAAATTTGGGTCCTCTGCAAGCTCAATAGCACTCTTAATCACTGAACTATATCTCCAGTACCCCCTCAAAAAAAAAAAAATGATATGGAAACACATATGAGCCAGAGCAATCCTTAGAGAAAGCATACTGCCGGCATTATCGTCACACCTGATTTAAGTTATACTACAGAGCCATAGTAATAAAATCAGCGTGGTACTGGCACAAAAACAGACAGTGGAACAGAACAGAGGGCACATATATAAGCCTATAAGATTTTTTTTAAAACAAAGATGCCCAAATTTCACATTAGCAGAAAGACAGCTTGTTCAACAAATAGTGCTGGGAAAACCTGATGTCTACATGTAGAAGTGCAAGATCCCTGTCACACCCTGTACAAAATCAACTCCAAATGTAAGACCTGAAACTCTGCAACTAACAGACAAAAAATTGGGGGAAACACTTCGAGATAGGAGGCTTTCTGAATAGACTCCAAACTCTCAGAAAATAAGGTCAATAGTCAATAAATGAACCTCATGAAGTTAAAAAGCTATAAATCAAAACAGTTAATTGACTTAGACAATACAGAAATGGAGAAAATATTTTCCAGGATTAATATACAAAATATACAAAAAACTAAAAAAATTAAACAAGAAAACAGATAAAACAGCTTAAAAAAATGGAATTGGAACCTGAATAGAAAGTTCTCAAAATAAGAAATATTAATAGCTAGCAAACATTTTTTTCACATTAAAAATTTTTATTGACTTTTTGTGTATTTCATACAGAACATCTTAATCAAGTTTATACCCCCTTCCCTGTTGGCACCCCCCCCCTCACTGGATTTCGTACATTCTCTCATTTGTGTTAAGACCTCTCATGTCAAGTTAGTCTCTCCAGACATCCCTCAGTGCAAGTTCATCCACTGAGGTCTAGTTAGCCTATCTGGAGTCCCTCCCTTTAAGAAGATCAGCTCTTCCTTACCTAGCAGTAATCGGCTGCCAATAATTCTTCCACTAAGATTGGGGCCTGCTGTTCATTTTCACCATTCTGTGCTGTTTTTTTTTCTGCTTGAGTTTGCATAGGTCTTGTGCATGCTGACACTAGGAGCTTGTATGACTATTTCCTTATGGTCATGCAGTTCCTCCCTGGCTCTACAGTCTTTCCACCCCCTCTTCCCCAATGGTCTGAGCCCTGGGTAGATGGAGTTTAAGAGTCCTGACTAAGGACTCAAACTCTGCAGATTTTTACTCTCCACACTTGGGCCATTTGTGACCTTTTTTGTTCCTGGCCCTCTATTGCATGAGAGAGCTTCATTGATGAGAACTGAAATATGCATTAGTGTTTTCTTTATCTCTTTTTCTACGTTCGACGAGCCTTCAGTGTAGAGAGGTTGCATTGTAGATGTGCCACTTAGGCTTGGGTAATTCACAATCTCTGTGTATGACCAGTTGTGGAACTCTGTAATAATCTCTGTCTGTTGAAAAAGAAGCTTCTTTGATGGGTGGTGACTAGTATACTTGTCTGTAAATTTAAGGATCCATGTTTTGCACATAGTAAGAAATTACATTTGTCTCGGGATGTGACAGCATTGGGGTTTTCTCTAAGATCTATGACCTCTCCAGCTATGTGTATTTGGCTAGGTTTACAGTACCACACGAGTTTCCTCTTTAAGTCCCAAGATAAAAGTGCCACTACAGTTTGCTGTGCCATTCCTTTATGCAGTTATTAGGCCTTGAAGCTGGAGTTGGACTATTGACTGAAGTTCTCCCTTAATAGCTTTCTCGGTGCTCTCCAAAGTTATGAGAGCTACCCTTCAGGGGAGGTGTCTTCCGAGTAGGTTCCAGCTGCAGTCCTCCAAATCCTGTGTTGGAAGTATGTCCTGTCTTTAGCAATAGGGTCTTACCTTCAAGTTCTGGGAGGCAATCAAAGGCTGTGTTAATAGCCTGTGCATTCTTTTGGGAGTGTCTTGAACTACCCTGGCCAACAATTCAAAGGAAGGTTTCTCCTGTCTGGCACTGTATCTTGTTATGTAGTCTTCAGCTGTACATGTGGACTCATGTAGAAATACTGCATGTGTAACTTTTTAGTAGGTTTTTGGGACTAATATGATTCCCTCTGGGTTTTTTTTTTTTTTTTTAATACAGGTAGGCATTATTTATCTCTCTCCTCTCTCTCTCTGTCTAACACTCCCTCCATACCCTCCCCATTTAAAGTATCCACATTTTCCCCATTTCTCCCTTGATAATTCCTGTCTACTATGGTCCCACCTCTCTTGAGCTCCTTCTTCCCCTTTATCCCCATATTTCCTTGTATAACCCTCTCTTTCCCCCCCCAATTTAACTACCCCCTTTTTATACATTTCTCCTTAGTAACACCTGTATCATACTGTTGTTCTCTCTTGGGTTCCTTCTTTCCCTTTACCTCCCTGGTTACTTTTCATTTTCCTGGTTCCTGCAGTTATATCAGGATATATATTCATATATAAGGATTTGGTGCTAGGATCCATAAATGAGGGAGAACATACATCATTTGTTTTGCTGAGTTTGTGTTACTTCCCTTAGTATAACAGTTTCAAGTTCCATCCATTCACCTGCAAATTTCATGTTTTCATCTTTCTTTACTGCTGAGTAGAGAACTCCATTATGTAAATGTACTACACTTTTATTATCCACTCACCAGTTGAGGGACACTTAGATTGCTTCCATCTCTTAGCTATTGTGAAAAGAGCAGCAACAAACATGGTTGTACAAGCATCTCAAATAGGATGAGTCCTTTGGGTATATGCCAAAGAATGGTATAACTGGGTATACCATATGGTAGGTTTATTTTTAGTGATTTAAGAGTTCTCCATACTGCTTTCCATAGGAGTTGCACGAGTTTGCAGTCCCACCAGCAGTGAATGAGCATTCCCTTTTCTCCACATCCTCACCAGCATTTGGTATCATTTGTTTTCTTCATCTTAGCCACTCTGATCTGGGTAAGATGAAATCTTAAAGTGGTTTTAATTTGTATTTCCCTAATTAATAACTGTGTTGAACACTTTTGAACACTTTTAAAGATGTTTCTTAGACATATTATTTCTTCTTTTGAAAACTCTCTGTTAAGATCTTTAGCCCATCTTTAAATTGGGTCATTTGTTTCTTGATTCTTTGCTTTTTGAGTTCTTTATATATTCTGGATGCTAAACCTCTGTCAGATGTGTCGATGGTGAATATTTTTCTCCCACTCTGTGGGTTTTCTCTTCACTTGTTTGGTTCTTTTCCTGTGCAGAAGCTTTTTAGTTTAATGAGGTCCCATTTAGTTTAATGTTGATTGTTGACCTTAATTCCTGAGTAACTGATGTTCGATTTAGAAAGTCCTTTTCTACACCTGTATCTTGTAGGTTACTGCCAATGTTTTCTTCTAACAGTTTTAGAGTTTCAGGTTTCACATTGAGGTCTTTGATCCATTTTGAATTGTTTTTTGTGCAAGGTGAAGATAAGTATCTAGTTTCATTCTCCTACAGGTAGAGATCTAGTTTTGCCAGCACTATTTGTTGAAGATGCTGTCTTTCTTCCATCGTGTTTTCTTGGCAACTTTGTCAAATATCAGATGACTGAAATTGCATGTACTCATGTTTGGGTCTTCAATTATGTTCCATTGATCTATATATCCTATATATATGGATGTTTGAGAAGGTATGAGTTCAGTGCCCAAGGAAGCCAGAATAAAAGTTTGGAATCTTGGAGCTGGTTGTGAACTGCCCAATGTGGGTACTTGGGAACTGAACTCAGATCCTCTGTAAGGGCAACACATGCTATTAACCACTGGGTCATCTCTCCAGCCCTTGTGCCATATTTTAATTATCCACTTATCAAATGATGGAAATCTAAGCTGATTCCATTTCCTACCTATTGTGAATAGGGCAGCAGTAAGCTTGAATGTTTAAGTATCTCTGTGCCAGGGTATAAAGTCTTTGGGTATATTCCCAGGAATGGCAAACCTGAGTCTTCTGAGTCTTAGGTATTTCTACTTTTTGTTTTTTTGAGAAATTTCCACAATGATTTCTATAGTGGCTACATCAGTTTACACTCCTTCAAACAGTGAACAAGAGTTCTTTCTCTGTATCTTTACCAGCATTTGTTGTTGTTTTCCATGATAATAACCATTATGACTGGGGAGGAAACATTTTAAAAAGTGTTCAACATCATTTGCCATCAGGAAAATACAAATTAAAAGTACTTTAAGATTCAATCTCTCACCAGTCAGCATGGTTATTATCACTGAAGGCTCCCTAGACACAACCCAGGACACAGAATTTAAAAGAACAATCACAAACATGATCAAAGAATTCAACAAATGTAAAGAACACACAAACAGATAAAAGAACTAAAAGAAGACAGGGATAAACTTGTGACTGAATTCACAAAAGAGATAGAAATATTGGAGAAAACTTAGGCTGAGTATCACACACACACACACACACACACACACACACACACACACACACATACTCACACTCACACAGACACAGAGAAGGGGGCCTAGTAGGGAAGAGGAAGGGGATCATTGGGACTAGGAGGGGGACAAGTGAGGATAGTGGGGATGAAATTCTCATAATAAAGCCCATTCTTATTTATAATTAACATATACTAATATAAATGAATGAGTGAATGAATGAATAAATAAATAAATAAATTAACTGAGTGACAGGTCCTGTAGATCAGATGGCACTTTGAGGCCATGTCATTGATTAAGCAGCCATCCTTTGTAAGGTGCTACAAAAATGGTGCGGTTGGTATTCTGGACCCCAGGTTCTGCAGGAGAATAAGATGAACTCTTGGAAATCACATGTCACATGCATTTTGTGCTTTTTCTGGGGTTGAGGGACCAGAGTTTCCATCAGTCCTCAAGGATGATTAAAAGCCACCCTGTCTGTCCAATGTCTCTTGCCCTACTGCTCTAAGTCACATAATTTTTTTTCCCTATGACCTTTCTGGGCTGGCTTGAAGAAATCCCAGTGACAGGAGAGAACAAACCCAGCCAGAGGTGTGCAGAGCATCGCTGAGCCCTCCTTCCTGCTGGCTGAGACTGGAAATGTGCCATCCTCCCTTCTTCCTTCTTTGGTTGTTGTTGTTCGAATGCTAGAGGGCCCAGGTGACTGCAGGCCAGGCTACCCCAGTGTCCCTGTGCAGAGAGATATTCACAAGCTCTGCCTGGTTGTGCTGTGCGTAGGTGTTCTAGAGGGTGTGACCTAGCGCCAGCATGCACTGACCTCAGTCTGTACTATCTTCCTCAAGGGTGCACATTGAGAAGGCAGGTGCTGAGACCCTAGCCCCTACAAACCAAGAGCAAAATGCATTCCCATTTGTGCTGGGGATGCAGTTGGAGACAGACATTTGCTGACGAACCAGGGCCCAAACATGGTCAGAGGCTTCCAGACCTCTTAACAGCTGCCAGAAAGAGTAGACACTCTGGGCTAGCTGACAGCAGTGTCGTGAAAAGGCTGGTGGCTCTGGCTCTTCCAGCCCTGCTAGGCCAGAATTCTGAAGTGTGTGTGGTAGTTGTATGGTGACTAGACTCCACATGCCTTGGCCTTAAGTGTGTAGCTCTTCATAAGCACGTTTTACTTTTCCAAGTTGAACATAACAGGAAAGCAACATGAAACACCCTTCCATACATCAGGGCTATATTTCAGATTGTACATATAGGAGATATATATTTCCTTTATGCATTCTCACAGGTCTGGTCTAGACCCTGAAAACACAGGTGGAGTGAACTCTGAGAACACAGAGAACCCTCTAGAAATTCTCCAGAGTGAAGGAATGCCTTGTAGTGGCCCTTGCATCTTCAAAGACAATTTCTAGAAGGAGTTCTGGAGGCAGGTTTTCTTTGCCTTCTGTCCTCACAGGCTCCCTGCCCTGTGGTCCTTATATTTATGCCCAAATCAGTTTCCAACCCTCTAGTCTTTGCCCATAAAAATCTGTGGATTTTTAAAAAATCCATAATATACTTGAAAAATCTTCAGAAATGTAGAAAGTTGTTTTTCAAAGGATGGTCTTTCTGGGCTGAAGGGTTAGCTCAGTAGGTAAAGTACTTGCTGTGTAAGCACAATGGCCTGAGTTTGATCCCCAGAACTCATGAAAAAAAAAAACAAAACAAAAAACCCAGATGTGGTGGCATGCACTTATAATACCAGCACTGGGGAGGCAGGGACAGGCGGATCTCTAGAGCTTCCTAGTCAGCCTGCCTTGCCTACTTAGCAAGTCCTAGTGCAGTAAGAGACCTGGTATCAAAAAAATAGGTGGCTAGCACCTGAGAAATGATACTTATGACATGAGAGTGCCCCCCGCATATATATACATGCGCACTTTCACATATACATGAATATGCACACACATGCACAAAAACACAAAGGCATTCTTTTTCTCTGTGTGTTGCCTGAGGTTGTATTAAAGTTATAGGAGTAACACGACTCTTAGAAAAAGAATGACATTCTCTCAGCACAACAAAGCCCCCACAAGAGACTGGCCAAGAGAAGGATGTCAGTCTTGTCTGAGTCAGAGTATAGCAACTCCAATGGACACAGAGGAGCCAGAGCCAAGAAGAGAAATCCCCTAGGAGGAAGGATGGTGCATGGGAACAGGGACAAAAAAGACCTGAGGAGGGACAGAAGGGTACAAAGGAGGTTATCCCCATACTGAGAGCTGGGCATGGGGGAATGTCTCCTAAAATAGCCAGATGTTAAAGGCCAAGGAGTAAGGGCAAAGGGAAGAGAAGAGAGGAATTATGGACAGAGGCCCCTTTCCAACACTTTCTTGTTGGGGTCTGAGTAGTTGGAAGCCTTTGCTCCACACCCAATGTCAAGGACTTTTCAGAACACTCATCTGGACTCACTTCTTTCTGGCTAGCCAATTCTAACAGTATTTCTTAATGATCTGACTATCTACCTTTACTTGTGTGTGTGTGTGTGTGTGTGTGTGTGTGTGTAATGAAAACACTTTTACTCACTTGGCCATCTCCTTAACCCTAAGATACTAATTTTTAAATTTTTACTTATTTTATTTTTATGTGTATAAACGTTTTGCCTGTCTGTATGCCAGCGTGCCCATGTGTGTAAGGCCTGTGAAGGCCAGAAGAAGGCTACAGATCCCCTGGAAATGGAGTTACAGATGGTTGTTAGCTATTATGTGGGTGCTGGGAACTGAACCTGGGTCCCCTGCAACAGCAGTCAGTGTTTTTAACCACTGAGCTATCTCTCCAGTCCCAAGACACATTCACATATATAACCTTCTTCAGGCATTTGAAGGCAGCCTATGACTTTGCAGCCCCTGTAATAATTCTTTTTTATCCATACCAAAAGGAGATCAAGGTGAGTCATAGAATATAGAACTCAAGGAACTTGGCATTGGGTAGGCCTTCTGCGGTTTGCCCCTGTGGGACCCTGGCCCAGTGGGCTGAAGCGCTTTCTGAAAGCACAGGATTTTCAGAGGCAGACCTGGCAAGGTAGGTCTGACTCACCCATTCCTATTCCAGTACTCTGATGCTCTTACATTGAAAGCATCACAGATTCCCCAGGATAGTACCTCAGACCATTCTCCTGTGATCCAGACATACTCGCAGGGCTGCAAGCTGCAGCTCTCGTGGTCTGGAGGCCGCTGGTCCATGTCACAGTGAGCACTGTGCACTTTACCTTGGTCCTCAGCCACACACACCACCTGTCGGTACCGGGAGCCTTCACCACAAGTCTTGGTGCACTGCAAGAGACAAACAGAATGGGATGACACCAAGCCTGACACAGCTTCAAGCCCTTATTCTTTTTAAAATATTATTTAATATTTTTATTTTTATGTATATGAATATATTGCCTGCATATGTGTAAGTGCACCTGTGTTGTGAGATGCCTGTGGAGGTCAGAAGAGGGCATCAGATTCCCTTGTAACTGGAGTTATGAATGATTGTTAGCTGCTATGTGGGTGCTGGGAATTGAACCCGAGTCCTCTGCAAGAGCAGCCAGTGTTCCCAACAATTGAATAATTTCTCCAGCCCCTCAAGCCCTTATTCTTGAAGTTATTTGTGCATTTAGCTAGACAGCTTTTAAGACAGTAGGATCCCTAGGCAGGGACTGCCAGAGAGCTCCTTATTCTATCAGGCACCTAAAAACCCTATTCCAGGAATGAGGATGTGCCTTCCATACCGGCTGTTTGAATGAAGAAATGAAAGGTGTGACTCTCAGGCTTGGAAAGGACTTTCAAACTTGTTTACTCAACATCCATTCAAACACTGAATAGCTTTAAAATGTACCACCCCAGGGCTGGGGATTTAGCTTAGTGGGAGAGTACTTGCCTAGTATTTGTGAAACCTGGCTCAATCCCTAATACTGCCTGGGGAGAAAAAAAAAAAAAAGGCAAGAACAGAGGAGGGGAGGGGAGGAGAGGGAGGAAGAAGAGAGGAAGGGAAGAGGGAGGAGAGAGAGGAAAAAGGAAGATGAGGAAGGGAGATAGGAAAGATGGAAAGAGAAAGGAAAGTAGGAGGGAGAGGAAAGGGCTGGAGAGGAGGGGGAGAGGAAAGGAGGGAGGGAGGGAGGAAGGAAGGAAGGAAGGAAGGAAGGAAGGAAGGAAGGAAGGAAGGAAGGAAGGAAGGAAATGTGCCCTATGGTTACCAAGGTGCCAGGAAGGTCATCACATCTCATAAAGCAGAACTAAAATCATCTCTCCACAGACTGTGCCATTTTGAGCTCTTTTCTATTCCAGGGCACATTTCCCTCACAGAGAACCCCCTTTCAGGTGTGTGGTCCGACAGCCTGATCTCTGACAGGTGGACTGCTCTCAGCTCCCATCTCCCATCTCCCAACAACTATTGACCAGATTCTAATCCAAGGTGGGTCCTGGTGAACAAGGGTGTCCGTGAACAGCAGCAAGTCCCTGGTTCTCAGAGGGGAACTCCTACTTGAGTACCAAGGACTGACAGTAGAGGACAACTGGGCAATGAGATGGAGCAAGGGCTATCATCCCCATTTCTGAGATGAAGAAACTGGGACTGTGAGAGCCTGCCACTAGTCCCTTGGGCACACACATTTATTTCTATAATTCAACTGAGGAAAACAGAACAAGTGGCATGTTTCATTCCAACAACAAACCGCACTTGGAAAGTGGATTTTGTATTGGTGTTGATGTCACCGAAGCCTGTTCTGTCTAAAGCATTGCTGCTACCTGACATTTTAAGTCCACACTACTTTGGAAAGCTGTGGGGAAGAGGCTGACTTGGGCAGCTTCCAAGTCTTTTACCCTAGAGACTGGACATCTGTTGTTGTGGGCTTATCTAACATCGGAAAGTTCTTGTGTTGTTACTGCACTTCTTGTAGCACTCCTCATTTTCAGTTCTGCAGGGAGGGCCACAAACCCCTCTCTTTTTGTAGTACAGCAGCAATTCTCTTTCATCTGTCTTGCCTTAAAGATATTTGAGTTTGAGATACAACCTCATTCCGAAATGCCCTCCCCAATGCACCCTATGTCTTTTGTATAGGTGTGTGGCAAAAAAGACATAACACAGGGTCTGGGGAGATGGCCCAGTAAAAATGTGAGGGACATGCAAGCATGAGGACCCAAGTTTGGATCCCCAGAACCCAGGTAAAAGCTGGACGGATGTGTGTCGGGAATCCCAGCACCCCATGGGGGAGATGGGCAGTAGACAGGAGAATTCTGAGAAGCTCATGGGACAGCTGGCCTGGCATACACAGCAACAAACAACAAGAGAGCCTATTTCAAACAAGGTAGAAGATGAGACCAACACTCGTTTGTCCTGTGACCACCACACATGTGGGTGGCACACAAATACCCTCATTCTCACACGTGAATAAATGCACACGCACACACATACATAAATACACACATATACATAAATAGAAAAAGAGACAACAGAAAATTCAGTATTTAACCATCTTAAAATGTACAAGTCAGAGATCTGAGTCCATGTGCAATGCTGTGCAGCCATGGCGACTACCCAGCATTGGGGCACTTTCATCGCCCCACTTCTGTCTCCAGGAAGCATTCATGTGTCTTTCCTCCTTCCTGCAGACCCTATGGCCACGCTTCCTAGCTCCATGGATTGCTTATCCTGGGGATTTCGTATACAGAGAAACATCGAGTATGTGTCCTTTTCTACCTGGCTTTTCTCACTTAGGAGGGTGTTTCATCTATTTTGGAGCATGTCTCAGTAACTCATCCCTTTTCAGGCTTGATCGTATTCTAATGTGTGGCTATTCAGCACTCATCTGTTAATGGATATTTGGGTCACTTCCCTCTGAGCTACTATGGATATTGAGATACCAACTTGAATACCTGATTTTATTCTTCCTAGGAGTGGAATTGTTGGATCATGTGATACTGCCCCCTGTCTTTTGTGAGTCACTTGTGAAGCAGGAGAGCTATGCTAGTTCATCCTAGCAGCCTGATCATTGTAAATTTAAAAGTCCAGCTACTTGGAGGCAAACCTCAGTATCTAGCATGTGGAATCACTCATCAGGTTCCAGAGGCACAAATATGACCTGAAGCCACAGTGAGATGAACAAGGGTCACAAAACAGCTTCGAACTAGAGGGAGAGGCTGGTGGAGCCTGGTTCCTTAGAGGGGTAGGCTGGTGGAGCCTGGTTTCCTAGAGGAGGAGGCTGGTTCCCTGGCTTGCTCTAGCTCAGGCGTTTGGGGGTTTTTTTTGGCTTCCTTGTAATAAACTGGCAACTATTGTGAAGTTAAAATGTTTTGCTGAATGTTAAAAACCAAACAGAGGGGCTGAAGAGATGGCTCAGCAGTTAAGAGCACTGGCTGCTCTTGCAGAGGACCAGGGTTCAATTCCCAGCACTGCATGGTAGCTACTGACATCCATAACTCTTGTTCCAAGGGAATTTTACACCTTCTTCTGACATCCATGGGCACTGCATGATATGGGCTCACTTACATACATGCAAGTAATATACACACTAAAAATATTTTTAAAAAACAAACAGAAACTTAACCTATGATGTGTTGATCTCTAAAGAAGCATATAACTACCCATAGAGAAAACAATTCTTTAGAAAACTAGGACTTAGGGAATGCTAAGACTGAGTCTTCCCATACCCCAATGCACTCTCACTAACCCATAAAGCTTGTATTGGTGCCAATAAGTAACAGCTCCAAGAAATACCACGATTCCTGAACGGTTTCTGCTTGCTAAGTGCTTCCTTTCTCAGTCTTGAAGAATAGTTAACTACTATAAAAACTGTTTTGCCAATGGTGGGGAATTGCATGAGAAAATTTACCCAGAATATATCTTTCTGGAAATTAAAAATTAAACTAGGTAAATAAATGACTTGCTCCCTTCTTTGGAACTAATCAACAGAACTCTGAAAACCACATGACAAAGGTTTTCTCTTGGGATCTTAAATCTTGGCAAAGTCATGGGAGAAAACAAATTCAGCCCACGCTACTGAAGTGCTTCAGTTTTGGAGACTATCATTTCCTCTGTCCTCTATAATCTGCAACTCCTTCCCCTGTCCTGAAATAGGCTCTAGAATGTTCTAAATAGAAAAAGATCAGTCAGAAAGTTTCAGCAGTCTCATTCTGATTTCTAGGTTGCCTCAATTTTCAGTATGGCTTTCTGAATTTCACAAAACCAACCAAATACATGACTAAGTAACAACATTAGCCTCTGTGAATTTCCACACATACTAAATTCTTAAAGGAAATAATCACAGTGATGGGCTAAAAAGGAACTCAGCCATTGTCCTCAGTGTGTGTGCCTTTAACGGTGCCAGAATTAAGGGGGAAAGTATTTTTCCAAATTTGAGGATGAGGAAACCCTCAAATAAACTCTCAGAGTAATATTTTATTCAATATGTTGCTTGGTCACAGGGTGATGTTCTAGATTGGATCATTTAATGTAAGAGGTAGAAGCTGTCCTTCCTTAAAGATTATAATCAAGTTGCTTTCCATTTTGACATAACATCTTTTAGTGCAATTTCCTAACCAGGGGGAAAGAAAATCACTTGCTATTCATGAGTTCTGCCTTTTAAGGTTGTTCTCACCAAGGATGAAAGAATTTTCCATTTCTAATAGCATATTACTGCTGTTGGGTAGTGTATGGGTGGACAAGTCACTGACCCAATGGAAGCTGATAACATGAGGTTGCACCTGCTGGAATTTTATGTCCTAAGGAAAGGTAAGGACAAATGAATCAATCTACTGTTGCTTAAAAGAAAGAAAAGGCAAATCCTTAAATTACCAATTGATTCTATTCTCAAAACCATTTTAAAATCAGTTATATAAAGCTGGACACTTTCTGCTCCCAAATAGGACATTCAAAATGGAAAAGGAGGCAGAAATACTATGATGGAGACTTTCTGTAGCTTCAAAGTCATTCATTCATCCACCTAACATTCGCAATAGGCACAGGTCTGTGCTGAGAACTAGAAGACAGTTTGGTGGCCTCTTACTCAGCTTCTGTCCCTGCCTGTCTTCAGGGAGCTAGCCACTCTCTGCCTGAGTTCCCATGAGCTACTTAGCTGGCTCACTGATTACCACTGAGGTTTAACCCCCATTCAGTCATGTTAGCTGTGGGTTCCAAAACAGATAGTGTCACTTAATTAGAAGCCATGTGAGAGAGAAGAGAAAGGATGGGGGACCCTGACAATGCTAATGGGGGGGGGATGGAAACTGATGAGGAGTGAAGGGGCAAATGATCATCTGGGCCAGAGGAAGAGAGGGACCCTCTCAGGATTCAG